TAACCACTGGGGATTTGTTACAAGGCCCAAGGTTTGGTTTTTTCATGAGGACGAAGTGAGCTTAGACCTTCCCAAGTCCTGTGGCCTCACTAAGACCGACAGGAAGGGCAGGACTGGAGGAGTCTGCTCTTAACATGCTTGCTTTTCAATGTCTGTGCAGTAATGAATGGCACTTTGTTGTCCAGTAATCTTTGCTGTCATTAGGCTAGCAGGGAGGGAGGATGTGTGGTGAGGTTGACCTAACTTGTTGCACACACCAACTGTCCTTCTGTTCCCTGCTCCAGTGTGTATGTCTCTCTTTCCCTCCTGCAGAACACAGGCCTGGTGATCAGCATTTTTTCCTCAGATATTTACCACTCTATCTTATCCCAGATTTTTAAGACACGTTCTTTTTGTTCCCTACTCTAATTTTTATTTCATGTGGTACTTGAACTGAGCAGTTTCTTCATCTTGTCTTTATTTCTGCCTGGGAGATGAAAGCAAGAGGAAAATGGAAAGACATTTTATGCTAGGGGACACAAAGCTGCAACCTTTGATGGTCTCAGTGCTGCTGGGATGTTTGCAGTGGTGCAGCCCTGGCTGATTGTCTTAGTCCCCCACTTGGCTGGCCCTTGGCAAGCACAATGTGCCTCCTAGTTGTGCATTGCCCTTGCACTTTGTTAAGTAACAGTCATCACATGCAGTGTTTTTAGATGCTCAGGGGTTACCAGCTTTGATGACCATACTCCCCAGGTTGTGTTTCTCAGGTGTGACAGATATCTCAGGATGTCATTTAGTGCATGCAGGGAGGAATCTACTGTCCCCTTGGAGATGCTGTTTCCCCCAAGGAGGTGCTGTCAGTTCTTCCCATCAAACCATGCCAGTGCTGCTCAGAGTCCTTCCAGGGTGCTGTTTCCATCTTTTGCTTTGACTTCATGGCACTACTGAGAAGAGAAAAAAAAAAAGGTACCTATCCCCTCCTTTGATTAAAATTACTGGTGTCCAGGCATTGAGATGGGAGATGGGAGATATGCTCTGCAATTGCTATTACATAAAGGACAGAGGAAAAAGGATTGATTCTTGACCTGTTAGTTTACTGACAGTCATGCTTTGGGGAAACAAGCTCTGCTTTTGTCTCCTTTCTAAACTGCTGCGCAGGTTTAACCCTTCATCTGTAGCTCTGAGGGAGGAGAGTGATATGGATCCCCACCAGAGGATCTCCGACTCCATACTCACCATTGTGTGTACCTGGGCTTTGACCTCTGTGCCAAGGAATGCAGCACCGGCAAACCTTCTATCCTGAAAGCTGGAGGCTGTGCTTTCTTCACCTCTTTGCAGACCTAAGACTGACTTTTTTGACGGCCTGTGATGTGTCCTTGGGGTGCTCAGCTCTGAGCAGGCACATTCAGAGCCTCAGCTTCCCTGTCCGTGCCCCCGCAGAGTGGGTGTCTCCCTGCTGCCGCAGGAGCGGGTCAGGGCGCGCTGCGAGGGCGGAGCGCGGCTCCGCGAAGCCGGGCTGCGGGTGCGGTGAGTGAGGGCTGAAGGCGTTCCTGGCTGGCATCAGCTGCAGCTCCCAGCACAAGCCCCAGGAGGGACATTTGCAGGCGCCGCTGGCGACTGCTAAGCACACCGTGCTCTTGTTCCCAGCGACTTAGTGCTGGATGTGGTTAACTGAAGAGCAGGCACGGAGCCCGGTGGGAAATGAGCTCGCTCTGCCTCACAGGGCAGCAAGAAGAGAGGGGAGGTGACAACAGCCTCGTGACCGGTTTCTTCCCTCCCAGTCTACTGTGGTTTAACTTGGAAATTGCCGTGCATGACCAGGTGGCGGCCTGTGTTACACGTGTACAGGATTTTGGGAGTCACAAGTGGAACGGCTGCTGCGCCTGGTAGTGTTGAGCTGGCACTTCAGAGAGGCTTTGTCCTTGTCCGGCTGCATCTCGGGAGACTTTGGCCAGGTGGCAGGTGACAGGGCTGGCTCGGTGACATTGCCCCCAGCTGGCTGGTGGACAGTGGTGGGTGTCAGCTGGAAGCGGCTGTTCAGGAACAGAGTGGTCACGTCACAGGCAGTGACCTCAGCTCTCCTTGGCTGTGCCACGTGTGTAGCAGTCTGGGGAATGCGTGCCCAGGAATGAGTCGCAGGAATTTCCCTCACAAGGAAGTGACTGCAGTAGAGCAGAGCCCCCGTTCAGGGTGGTTTTCCTTCTCCCACTCCCAGGCCACATATATATATCTCCCTCCTTCTCCAAAGAATTAGGGTACTGTAATCCATAAAAGTGCTTCAGCAGCAGGCTAGGTGATATTAGTTACTGTTATTAGTAATGTCAGTCAAACAAACTTATAATGACATTTAAATTCATCTACTCCTTCCTTTTTTTCCTCTGGAAAAGGCTATTAAAGGACTTGTTAAACATAGAGACAACTCAACACCAAGAATCCTACATCCCTTTCTCCAAAATACTCATGTTCTATCAGCAGAACCACAGCCTAGCTTATAAACTAAATATTTATTAAATATTAATTATTTAATAAGAAGATATATATATAACATATAATATAAAATAAATAATATGTATAAATAATAACTTATTATTCATTTGTAGGCATTCAATTTTGTTTACTAAGGATTAGCTTAGAATCCAGCTTCAAAATAGGAACTGCAGATTTTAAGGTGTCTGGCAATGGCAATTATAAAAAAATAATTAGGTACTTTATTAAATTATGTAGATGTAGACATATGTTATATACAATATATAGGTGTGCATGTGTGTGTATACATACATACATACATATATATATATAATGCATGAAAATGGGCATTTTGCTTAAGATGTGCCCAGGTAGCTGCAGATAAGAGGAATCTGAAACCTCCTTTAAAATTTCAGCCCTACCTGCAATCAGCCCCCTCCAGGAGGGACATTTGTGTTGCATGTCCATCTCTGTGCAGGTTTAGTCAACAACTTTGCCAGCTGTGCTGATCTGTGCAGAATAGGCACCTGGGATGTGGAAACACTGTGGCTCTTCCCTTGGCATTAAATAATCCAGATTTTACTGGGCTGAAAGGGAAAATGTGACTGTGACTGCTGCTGTCAGGGCAGGCAGAGCCCTGAGTTAGGGGTGAGCTGGCTCTGCTAATTTCCAGTGACTATGTAATGCAAAAAAACCCATCATATTAACCCACAGGCTAGTGTTTGTGCTGGGCCTGAGCCAGCAGATGCCCTTGCAGGATGCCCAGGGCTCTGGATTGCTTTGCTGAGAAAAGCCAGGAGACTTAGCAAGGACCTCAGCATACACAGGGCAAAGCTGTTGCTACTTCATCCTTAAAATCACACACTTGGCCCATGGGGATGATTCACCAAAGAAAGCCTAGGTGCTTTCCAACTTATTTTGCTTTATTAAAGGAAGAAATAAGCAAAACCTGCACAAATTGCAGTTCCTTGGCTGACAGCCCATGTGCACCCCACTGCTGCTCCACCGTTCTCCCACCCAGAGGCCAGAGATCTGCATCAGGGTATCCCATTCTGATTTACCTCCAACTTCCCTCAGTACCTCACTCAGCATCTTCCAAGGAAAATATGGGCTCAGCTGCCACTGTACCAGTACAGAGAAGCTGGCAGATTTGAATTATGTTGTGTAAATATTTGAAACATTAAAGGATTAAAGAATTACTGATAGGTAGCCAGGGAAAGTAACCTGATTTTTAAAAAAGTAGGCAACTATGTAATTGACTTATGATGCAGAAGTAATCTGAAGGGGCTAAAGAGGACCCAGAAAAGGCTAAAAACCCACAGCTTCTGTACCTTGGAAGCCAATACAGTTTTGATATCTAGAAGACTTTTCTTCAGCTCTTTCACACCCCAGGCGCCCTCTTTCTCCTGAAGTGGTTTCAGGCCTCTCCTTGGTAAGCAGGAGCAGCGTGGTAAGAGAAGGGTAATTTTGCCCAGTATTATCTTCCATAGTCACAGTTTACTCCTCTGTTTAGTTTATGGTTTGGCTATTATTTAAGATTTGCAGTTTCAGAAAACTAAATTCATAGACAGGAAGTACTGCTTGGTGCAGTCAGATGACATGAAAAATTTGAGTTATTGAAACTAATAAGTTCAAAGGTGCTAATACTGTTAGGAATTTATAACTTGCAGTGAAATGCATGTGAGAAGTTCTTGTAGAAAAGGGGCTCTTGGTGAAGCAGATGCCTTGAGCAGGACCTCATAAGTGTTCAGGGTCCCTCAGGGTGCTGTTGGGGAGGCAGCTTATCAGCCCTCCCACTGCATCCTCCACCCCCTAGTCCCTCTGGGCACCACACAGACATATAACTAATAGAAATTAAAACCAGGGGGGTTGTATTCAGACTGAACTTATATGGTTCTTTAACAGGTAATTATTTAGCACCAACGAGGAAAAGAATATCCCTGTACAGTACAAAGTTTGTCTCTACATGGTTGATCTTGACCAAACCTAGAATTTAAAATATGCATTTACAGAAAAGTTTTTCAAAATTTGTCAATACCTTTCAAAATATACTAAAACAGCTAAATTCAGAATGTGAGTTAGTCTATTTGCAATTTGAGTTAACTAAGTTACTCCAATTATTAGCCTAGTACAAACTGATCTGAGATATAATTAAAATGCCTCTGGGAAGTGGTCTGAGCAAAGTCCATTTTATTCCAGCCTAAACTATCCACCTAGGCAACCAACAATAAGCAAGAAGTTACTTAGTGATATCAGCTATGACTGCACTGCTCCATTTCCCCCAGCACGTCGCCACATAACATTTCTGGAATATATCTGTGTATTTAAAGTCCTCTGGACTACCAACACATTCATCAAGTAGAAAGGAAACATTCACAAATGTGAATGTGAATGCCAAGACTCCAGACAGTTTTCTGCCTTCACAGCTGGCTCCATCATCACAGCAGCATGCAGTCATACTTCTGTATGAACACCACCAGCATTGTAGGACAGTAAGACTTAAGGACAGCTGTAAAAGTTGCTTAAAGAAATAAGCAGTCAGAAGACAAATACAGTTCTCAACTAAGGACATTTATTAAGCTTGATCGAAGTAGTTTTATTCCGAAATTTTGTTTACAAAAGTCTAACAATTTCCCCAGGTAGTCATATTAATAAAAGAACTGAGGTGGTATTACATTAGTGCATAGAAAGAAAATCTGGTCTGTAAAAGTTACAAAAACCAAATATGTAAAATGTAGGTTTTACATACATGAAAGCAATTGCTAGTATTGCAGGCAGAGCATTCCCTAGTGTTTTGCTGCACACATGAAGTTGTTAGATGCCATACTTTAGAGGCTTTTTTCCTTTTGGAAGCAGGACCAGCCCATCTGCCACAACCTATGCAGCTGACTCTTGCTCTGCTCTTCAGCCAGGCCATTTTAAGGGGACCCAGCCTCCCAGCAGCTCTGGCAGCTGATCTGATCACAGGTAACCTAAGGGCCTCTTGCAGCAGCAGCACCACACTGCACTGTGGGCCAACCTTATTTTCCCTAAGGATCTGAAGGAGTTGCTTACTACGAGCCCGTTTCCAAATTACCATGGAGCATGTACGCCCAGCTGAGGACAACCGTGCAACGTGCACAGAGGCACTCCAGACTGGGTGTTGCATATCCAGGCCATGGCTGGCCAAACCAAACATCCTGCACCTAACAAAGGAATGTGAAGGAAATCCAACAAATGCAGAGCTGCGCTGAAGGCAGCCTGTGCAAAGCTGCTTTTGTTTTTCATCCAAATCAGAACTCTGCTGAACCAGTTTGACCGAAGCCTCTTGGAAAATATTTAGCAGTTTAACTGAAACGCATGCTAAGATTTGGCAAGATACTTCAAACTTTATTATGACCAACAGTAGGTCTGCCTCCATTTTGAAGTTATGTATGTACTTCCTGTTGCCTTGGGGACACTTGACAAACCTCCAGAAGCAGAATTTAAGATTTCTTTACTGAATTACACAGCCAGCTATGAAGCTTTCTAGCCCTTGCTTCCACTGTACCTCCAAAAACTGTGTAATGCTCCAAGGTTCCACTGCAGTTAAAGACACAGAAGGTAAGCAGAAAAGGAGAAAAGATCCAGACAAAGAGCAAGAAGTAACAGCGGCTCAGACCTATCCAAGCAGTACAGATGTGAGTTCCTGCAGAACAAGCACACAGCTGTAGAAGGAAAGGAAAACAGAACACAGATAATACAGCCATTACAGGCAGAACAAACACACTGGTGTCATGGAACTAGTCCCTCACAAATACCAAATCTTTTTGACCTATCCTGGGGATGCTGTGGGGAAATCATGTGAAAGGTTAATAAAACAGCTGCACCATTATGCAAGTTAGCTCTGATTATCCATTAACTGCTTGCCATCATTTACCGATTTGAAGCAAGGCTTCTATGCCAGAATTCCCAATTACAGCCAGCATTCTCATAACCCGGAACACTTAACTTGGGGTTATTTGTCTACTGATTATTAGTAAGTTTGGACTAGATACTCAAGTTCCCTTCAACTGACTGCTTGATACAAATTTTCACCCTGTTGTTAAAGAAAATAGCAGGCACCATACCACTGTGCCATTTGGTGTTGGCTACAATGGTGAGTAACTCAGATTGTATCAAAGTGTAATTCTAGACAGAAGCTCCAGATTTGGCTATTTACCGTCTTACCAATTATTAGAAAACATCTATGTATAAGTGTTTAATTTTTGAAGAGCTACATAACATCGGTTTCCCAGAAAAAAAAAATATGGTTCTGCTTTTGACTAAAAAGATCAGTGTACAAGATGTTGGAAACCCAACACTGGATTCTTTCTTTGTAGTATTGAAGGTTAAAAGTATTCACTTCTTCTCAATGTAGAATTTTCTTGGTTTACTCAATACTTCACAAAATGCACAAAAACACTGTAAATGTTACCTGGTATTTGTGCAATCCAATCTAAAAAGTTTTTGAAAAGAGCACCAGAAAAGTTTTTAAGGCTTAGATCAGTTTAAAAGTAAACCTGTGTATGAATTTTGTTCTACTCTTCAGAAACAAGTAGTTTTGAGTATCTGCTTTGCAACTTATGAACGTATTTAAGTAACAATCATTTCTTATTCTATCATGACTAGATAAAAGTTTTGCCATAAACTCAACATTAACCCAAAGAACACAGAGACATAGCATTGAACTTCTGCTTTAATGGTCTCAAATTCTGTGACAGATTTTTGGTCAAGTTTCCATTTTAAAAAATTTATCGATTTTAAAGACTAATAACTTAAACTGCCACGAAACAAATGGTCCACAAACATTCCTTTCCTTCTGAAGCTTTTACGATGCATTGTAATCATTAACCAGTCTTTTGCTATTAAACTTAAATGGCCAATTGAGACAAACAGTTCTGAGACCGTTCTTCCACCACTGGTTAAGACTGAGGTGGCAGCTGGTGTACAGAATTTTCATTTAGCCTTCTGGGCCTTCTGGGCAGACTTTGTGACCTTGCCAGCTCCTCCAGCCTTCTTGTCAACAGCCTTGATGACACCAACAGCGACCGTCTGCCTCATGTCACGCACAGCAAAACGACCTGAAAGAAAAAACACATTTCATGACTTTTGTCTATGCTGCCTATCTTACAGCCCAATTTGCACAGTGGCAACACACAGGTTGTTGTAAATGGGTCAGCACTGCTCTGGAACCTTCTCTAGTTTTCTCTCCATGCAGCCGTAAAGCCTTGGCTCCACTTCACAGTTTCAAGTTACAGCTTTCATTAACATTTCACAGAACACACTGCCTCCCAATACTAGAAATGGAGGAGCGTCTTTCCTAGAGACCCATATTAATGTGAGATGCCTTACCGAGAGGAGGGTAATCAGAGAAGCTCTCAACACACATGGGTTTGCCAGGGATCATATCAACGATGGCAGCATCTCCAGATTTCAGGAATTTGGGACCATCCTCCAGCTTCTTCCCAGAACGACGATCGATCTTCTCCTTAAGCTCAGCAAATTTGCATGCAATGTGAGCAGTATGGCAATCCAGCACAGGGGCATAGCCAGCACTGATCTGGCCAGGGTGGTTCAAGATAATGACCTAAGAAACAAAAGAAAGCCAAGTTAGAAGGGGTGTGATTTTGAACACTGACGTGTTCTTACAAAGCCAAGGACTTAGTAAGATTTGCTTCCACCAAATACAACTCAAAATACAACTCTATGCTGCTCTATAGCTTAGCCTAACAAGACTCCTATTTTGGATTAGAGAGCTACGCTCCCAACATCCCTGAACAGCTGCATAAAATACCTGTGCAGTGAAGCCAGCTGCTTCCATGGGAGGGTCATTCTTGCTGTCACCAGCAACATTACCACGGCGAACATCTTTCACAGACACGTTCTTAACATTGAAGCCAACGTTGTCACCAGGCAGAGCTTCACTCAGGGCTTCATGGTGCATCTCAACAGATTTAACTTCAGTTGTTACATTGACTGGGGCAAAAGTAACCACCATGCCTGGCTTCAGAACACCTGTTTCCACACGGCCAACTGGTACAGTACCAATGCCTGCAAAAGCAACAACAGCATTATTTATTATTCAGCTTAGTAAATATATGCCCTTATGGGGAAAAAAACCCACTTGAGACAAGAATTCTAATTTTTGACTTGGAAAAGAGCTGCTGCTGCTGGCACGTGAGCAGCATTCCAGAGAACACATACCACCAATTTTGTAGACATCCTGAAGAGGCAGACGCAGAGGTTTGTCAGTTGGACGAGTTGGTGGCAGGATGCAGTCCAGGGCTTCAAGGAGGGTGGTTCCACTGGCACTGCCATCCTTACGGGTGATCTTCCATCCCTTGAACCAGGGCATCTGTAATGCAAACAAACCCAGGTTAATCTGACTGCCAAATTTAATGGTGCCAAGCCTGAAAAAGCCCAAGCAGCATCCCTTAGCATCATTTCAATTTACTGCTGCAGAGTAAGAACTTTTGTAACTGCTAAGATTTATCTTGAACTTTAGCACTTCCCAAACATAACTATTACAAAATGTGCGTTTTATCATTGCATAATTGGACTTAACAGTCTTCCTAGTTTCATGGCTTAACAGAAATAAATGTCAAACGTACGTTAGAGCTAGGCTCCAGCATGTTGTCACCATTCCAACCAGAAATTGGCACAAAAGCCACAGTGTCTGGGTTGTAGCCAATCTTCTTGATGTAGGTGCTGACTTCTTTGACAATCTCTTCATATCTCTTCTGGCTGTAGGGTGGCTCAGTGGAATCCATCTTGTTGACACCAACAATCAGCTGTTTTACACCCAGGGTGTAGGCCAGAAGGGCATGCTCACGGGTCTGCCCATTCTTGGAAATACCAGCCTCAAACTCACCAACACCAGCAGCAACAATCAGGACAGCACAATCAGCCTTTGAAAAGAAAAAAAAAAGGAAAAACAACCTCACTATAATGCTTGCGTGTATGTCAAAGTAATACAGGAACCGCCCCCTAAGCAACCAAGGAACAACGTTCCAGAACCCCCCAAATCGTACTTTCTTTACATACCTGAGAAGTTCCAGTAATCATGTTTTTAATGAAGTCTCTGTGTCCAGGAGCATCAATGATGGTGACGTAGTATTTGCTTGTTTCAAATTTCCACAGAGAAATATCAATAGTAATACCACGCTCACGTTCAGCCTTCAGCTTGTCCAAGACCCAGGCATATTTGAAGGAACCTTTGCCCATCTACAGTCAGAAAAAAACCCATTTTTATTACCATTAAAAATAAGGGGTTTTGTATCTGCAACTAGTTCAGAAAGATCACACTGACTGAAGAGCAAAATCTATTAATAGTAACTGGCTTAACACTGAAAAGCGCTGCTGCTCATAAAAACAGCAACAAGATACGCTTAGCACTACTGGTGAGAGATGCCAACTGTTGAATCTTATTGAACTTGCTGACAGTTCAGACTCCTTGGCAGCTTGTTAATTTCACTAAAGCATCTTTATGATAGAGCTCTTGAGCCTGAGTCCTACTATCAGGTATCTTCTACAATTTTAAGTCCTCCTACTACTTCAATCCTTGCAATAATCAACACCTTAATTTCCACTCTGATAAACATTTGTCAAATTTTATTCTATGTTCTTATGACCTGTGCTGTTATTACACAGAAAAAGAACAGTATCAGTAAAACTCCCAGATTTTTAAATTAGACTTTTATCAACTATGCTTCTATGTAGTTTGTATCTGGCCATTTAACCTGATTCGAGATGTTACTATTCAGATGTAGCTTTAGACTACCTTCACACTTCACAACCTGAGTTTCTGCAATTAACACAACGGCAGATGGAACACTTACAACACTTGTTCTACCTCGGGGACAACTGCAACGCAGCTGCCGCCCTGTGGCCACGCAACACTGACCCACTTGTTCAGCTCTTGGGGCAGAGGCAACCGAACCGCCTCCCCGTGGCCACTGAAGGCTTTGCAGGTTCACTTTTCAATTAAGGGGCTAGTGATTCCTGCAGCCCGGGATTTTGCTGGCTGCTATGCGCCCACCCACCTCAGCCGCTTCCTTCTCGAACTTCTCGATGGTCCTCTTGTCGATGCCCCCACATTTGTAGATGAGGTGGCCGGTGGTGGTGGACTTGCCAGAATCGACGTGGCCGATGACGACGATGTTGATGTGGGTCTTCTCCTTTCCCATTTTGGATGTTAGCTGAGTTCTTTCTTTCGGCAAAAGAGAATCGACACCTGCAGGTTCCCGAGAAGAAGCTGGTTACGCCTCGGGCCGGGCCTCGGGGCAGCGATGGCGGAGCCGCACGCGGGCGGCCCGGCCGGGATGGCGGCCCCGCCCCGCCGGGGGAGGGGAGGAGCGAGGCGGGCGGGCCGGGGCCCCTCGGAGCGCCCCTCGCGTCGCCCCCTCCCCGGGCTCGAGTTACCCCGGCGGCGGCGGGGGCGCGGGGCGGCGGCGAGCGGGCCCGGCGGGCAGCCGGAGGGCGGGGCCGCCCCGCTCCTTTGTGTGACTCACCCCGCCCGGGCCGCCGCGTCCTCCATTTTGTGGCGCTGGCGGCGGGCGGCGAGGCGAGCGGCCATTTTTGCACTCGTGCCCCGGCCCCCTCCCGCCGGCGGCCCCGCCGCCCCGCCCGGCACGGCCCCGCGCCGCCGCCCGCGGGGCGCAAGGGGAGGCTGCCGGGCGCCTCCTGCCCCACGCCCGCCCGGGCACGCCGCTCCGCCGCCCTCAGCGCGGACAACGGGGGTGTGCACATGGTAATCGAGCAGAACGATGCGCCGCCATCCCTCCGCCCCGCGCTCCCTTGCCCGCCCGTCCGCCTCGGTTCCCGCCGGCACCCCCGGCCCCTCCCTCCCCTCGGCCCCCTGCACGCCCCGGCCCAGCGCTCGCCGGGCCTCCGGGGCGAGCGGACCCCGGCCCGGCCCTGCGGACGCGCCTCACCTGCTCGGCGACGGCGGCAAACCCGGAGCGAAAAAGACCGACGGCGTGAGCTCCGCCCCTTATATAGCCTGCCGGGGGGCGGGGTCTCGGGACACGTCACCGCTCCCGGCGGCCCCGCGGCCCCGCCCGGGCACGGAGCGGCCCGCCCCCGCCGGGCCCGAGCGGACCCCGGCCCGGCCCGAGCGGGACCCGGGCCCGAGCGGGACCCCGGCCCGAGCGGGACCCGCCCGGCCCGAGCGGGACCCGGGACCCGCCCGGCCCGAGCGGGACCCGGGCCCGAGCGGGACCCCGGCCGGCGCTGTGCCGAGCGCTCCGCCGGGAAGGGAGCCGTGTCCCTGTGGCGCTGGGATGGAGAGCGGGCGGGATGCCGCCTGCCCGGAAGGAAGCGGGGCAGCACCGAGCAGCCCCGGCCCCTGCAGGGCCCAGCGCTCGGGCCCGGGCTACGGCCGCGTCAGGCCGGGCCCGAGGGACGAAAGTCCCTGGGGAGCAGCCCCGGCGAGTTAATTGTATTTCGCATTGGGGGCACAAAGGAACGCAATCAGCGAGATTAGAAATTCAGTGAGTTACCCTGACCGGCAAGTAACAAATGCCGGCTGAACATCGCGAAACTCCCCCTACCCCCGTACGTTGCAAGTCTCGCAGAATTAAACGTGGAGAAGGAGGGGAAGAGCAGGAATTTCTGGAAGCTTATCACACCGGAATAAGAAGCTATCGTTTGGCTTAAAAAAAAAATGAAAAATATTTTTCTGGTTTTGTTTTACCGTTAGAGGACGAAAGTTGACTCGTCTTAGGAAACTTCGGCACAAAAAATACAAATCAAGGCAGACGCACTATCAGTAAAGATGCGTCTGAAGTGCAAATGGATCAGTCACGGAAGTATTCAGGACAGGGGTTCTCTGTACAAGAAACCGTGACTGCAGAAACTGCCCCCATACTGTATTTTCACATGGGAAAACCGGCAGCCCTGGCAAATTATTTTTAGAATCGTGGCAATGAGGAGTCACAAAACAGCTCACAACATCAGAAATAAAGGCCCTCGTGATTCCAGTAGATTTTTTTTTTTTCTGGTTTAGTCGCCTGTAACTGATATAAGAAAATTCATTAAATATTCAACATCTCCTATACCCATCCAAGAGAAATTAAGATGAATAGCTGAACTGTCTCTGTTATTTTTAAATTATCTGCAAAGCTATGTAGTCCATCTTCTTATTCAGCTACATTATATGCCTGTCAGAAATAGTTACTTATCTATAGACAACTATCATCCATTTCTTGTTATGCTCTTCAGGGTGCAGTTGTATAGCATGGAAACAGCTTCTTGTTCAAAAACAAACAAAAAAGAAAACATCAGCAAACTAATAATAAAAAAACTACCTCATGCATCTACAAATGTACCCTTCCACTTGACTTCAAGTTTCTCTGAGATAAACCCAGCATCAAATTCATTAGAGAGCACTAAACTTTGATATCATGCTTTGATATGGAAGTGTTTCCATAAGATAAGGTATTTTTCCCACATGAAAAATTAAGAAGATGCATTTTGTAAAAAAAAACAAAACAACAAAATGTCATAAGAGAGCATGCTGAGTTTAGAGTACACCTTTTACAAAAACAAGCATTTCAGATAATAAAAGTGTTTAATATCTGAAAAAGGGTTCAGATATTAAACACTTTTTTTTTAAGAAAGGAAAAAAACAAATTCTCTCTCACCCCTTCTTATGTTTTTCAGCAGAGATTAGTAGTAGTGGGGGAGGGAATATAGAAATGGTGCAGCTTTCCTCAAAATTAACCTTCAGGGCCAGTTACTAGTGAAGACACCGCATATGAAGACATAGGAAAAGAGCAGGAAAAGGAAGGTGATCTGCTTTCTGGAAATGGAAGTGCATTCTTGTGAGTGGCTTGGTTTGAAGACCAAAATATAATATTTAGCAAGAAAGCTAGGAAACAGTTTTTTAGGGTCTTCTATAAAGCAAAGACTGTAAACACAGTTAAAAAGCTTTATTCTTCAATATGGTTTGAAGTTACCTTCTCAAATGTGTATTTCAGTGGGGGAGGGGGGGTGTTTTTAATGGACTGATCTGTCAAAGAAACCATTTTCATAAAAAGGTAGTTTTAACACTTCCCAAATGCAGTCAATTATTTGTGCCTGAACAGGAACATGAGGAAGGAAATATGTTACTAAATTCTTATATGGTCCATACTAAACTGCATATTTCTAATTTTTTTAAGGTTCTTTTTTTTGGAGGTTATTTTCTTAAGGGTTTTTGGATTCGGTTTTTTTTTAGGGAGTTATTTTCGGTTTTTTTTTTTTTAGGGCGTTTTCTTTTTGGTTGAAAGGTTTTGAAGGTTGATTTTTTGTTCCAATTTTTTAACCTTGTTCTTGTTTTAGTTTTCCGGCGTTTTTTTTCCCCTTCCCTTTTTTAAATGAGTTTTCAAAATAATTCTATTATTTCCTCTTTAGTTTGACCAATACATGTTTTTATTCTCTCAACAATTAGTGTATCTTTTCTTGCCCACTCCATTAGAAGAACATTCCTATTATCAATCTCAAAAATATTTATACAGCTGGGGACCTTCTGATATACGAGTAGCCTCAGACAATACAGTGGAAATGCATTCTGAAGAATCCTCTCAGCTAACACAAATAGCCCTACACTGGACTAAATCCTGTTTGCAACAGCCTATAAAAATTTTAGATTGTATTAATTTGGTAAAACTAATCACTTTAATATGTAACATTTAGGAAGGAACAAAGATAAGACATTTCAAGAAGTCAAGGATATTTAGCCATTTAAATAGGGCTTATTCAATACTGACATCAGAACTAGGAGGACATTCTCCTTTGATCACTGGTGAGCATATGCTAAACTGAAATATCCTATGTTTACATATGTCTCCAGTGTAAGAACACAGAGAATGCTCTAAAGCATGTGTATTGAAGGAAACCACCATTTTAAAAGGGTTTTGAATCTCAGGTCACATGATATTAAAATAAAAGTCTAAGCCAAAAAAAATCTAGGCCAAAAGTTTCAGCTTTAAAAAGTATATGTCATCTGGATTTTGAGTTCATAGTAGCTACTGAAGCATTACTTCCATTTAGCATGTGGCTCCAGCACATACAGAATGGGCTGTAAGCTTAGAACATATTCACAGCCAGTGAAATCATGCTAGGAGATAAAAGATGTGCTCACTGAGCATCTCTAAAGAATTTCAATTCTACCATATGCACATGGGTATTTTTTTTGGTCAGATTCCTGTGCAAAGATGCAGGTAAGTTAGGCTTATACAACCATTTTAATTGCAATGACCAAGGTCATTCAGGAGTATGAGCAAACAGACTTTTTATGTGCAAGACTTGAAGCAGATCTGATAAATTGAGTATATCAAGCTCACTATATATGAAAGAGGCACTAAGATTTCTTGAGGGCACTTTCAGGAAGTGGTGGAAAAGCAGTCCAAAGTTACCAATAGTAGTAATTGGTGATCAGCAAAACTGGATTCTAATACACAGCACCATTCTGTTATACAGTTAGCCTCATACTTACTGTGAAAGGTTTTCTAATCCCTATATTATAATTATCCTGGTACGTACATTTGTCCAAAGTTCAATATAAACTATAGCGTGAGCATACAGCCTTACTTCCATCTATAAGTGTTCTTTAATGCATTGATTCCTAACAGCAATAAAAAGCACCTACACCTGTTACAAAACCCTTTTTCATACATGATCTTAATACTTACAACCAGTTTTTACAATCATCTGCTTATGAAATAAGAGAACAATAGAATAATGGTGTTATTCATATATGAAAAGAGTAGACAGAAAACCTGCCTAAAGAAAAGGTTTAACTGAACAGGGTGAGGTGATCTATACTAATAGAAAAACACTATTTTTGAAAGTTACTTAGCTCTGTACAAGTAGCTGGCATTTTTATATAAACAAAATTGCTTGTTAAAAGAAAGAGACAACAGTAAATACAGTTTAAGTTATTGTCTTAGTAGACAGTATAAATTAAACTCTTCCATCCTTGGAAGTTTAAGACTTGGACTAATTAAAGTCATCTTGTCTGATCTCATAGCTGACCTTGCTTATAGATTCACAAAAGAAGGTCTTACAGTAGGAGGTATAACACAGTGGACTTCAAAACTCTTGCGAGTATCACTGGGATGAACACACAGTGACAATTGCAGAGTCTTCTGAATAGCTTAACAAGAGCCTCTTTAAAAGTCATTGTTGCTCATGAAAGAAGTTTCCTCTAGGAAGCACTGCCATTATAGTTATAGCATTTATAACAGGTGATGGAGTACTGGCTTGGAGGATAGCCTGCTTTAAAAAAAAAAATAAAATCCTTTGGACAGTCTTTTCAAACCACATTATCCACAGCACGAGAAAGCTCATTTATATTGAAGGTTTAGTACTGGCTGAACTGTGATACCGAAGGTTTGGGATCAGGCAGAGTGGTCAGATCATGCTGGGATGTGACCAGAACTAGCAGCTGTATTTAAACCCCATGTGCTGTTCTGTGGAGTTCTGCAGAGTTCTGCATTTGTGAGCTAGAAAATGAAAGTATTTGATGTAGAACAGAGGTGTCCTAAGGAGGAAATAACTGCACAGGTGGCTGCTTTGGTAAGAGTGTTCTGGAACCAAACAGCAAATGAGCAGATACATGCAGATAATAGCTTAAACAAAAAGTGACCCTTCACTTGCAGACATTTGACAAAACTTCATATACCTCATTAATGCTAGGCTAATTTACACAGCTGATGCCCTGGCTCCAGGCAAAAAGCAGAATTACTAGACGCTAATGCAGAAATAAGGTGAAGGTCTGATGAAGTAACCACCATTATGGAGGAACAACATAAATTGTTTAAGTGTTCTGTGGTTTTGCATTAGTATTTTCCAACAGCAGCAAACAGGCAAATTTCTACTATATCTCACCACCTTTTGGACACCCTAAATGAATGGTAAATGCTTGTAGGAGTTCAATTCAAAGAATGCCCTAAATGGGAGCATTTTACATACATACATACATACATAGATACATATATATGTAAATAGTGCATTTTGTGGGAAGAAAATGTCAGTTACTGAACCAAAATCCACTGGGTGAGGATGGTG